TATATATATATATATATATATATATATATATATATATATATATATATATATATAAGAAAAATAAAAAAATATATATTACAAGAGTTAAACTCCGAAAATGTTTGGTTTGAAATTATTGGTAACACGTGTATGAGAAATTATATAGCAAGAAATTGAGTAATCTTTGGGTGGAGAAAGAGCTAAGGAATTGCCGATTTGAAAAGATCAAGATTAGTAATAATAAAAGAATAATAAATGAGTCATGTAGGCCACATGAGTCCATGTCATGATGGTCATCTGATGGCAAATGACAACTGTTGGTGAACAAATATGCTATGACTGATGAGTCAACATGACCTGGTCTACACGTCAATGTCAGGAGTCTCCTGTCGGTTGAGCTTGATGTCGAGGTCGACCGGGCTCTCGCGACGAGGTATTGATCAACATTTCTCGATTCGGGCACCGTTTGCGTTGAGCAGCGTCTCTCCATTCCCGAGCTGGTTGGCAGCTCGCCTTCGTTCGTTGGATGACGATTCTCAGGTCGAGGCATCCGTGGCTCCGGGGTGGCCGTTTGTTTGCAAAATCGACCTTCATTGATTCCCGACTTTGGTCCCTCCGATGAGCAAGTCAGTAGTGGGTCGAATTATTTTTTGCGCCCCCTCGGTCGGATGTCGAACATGGGATTTTATACTATTGTATGAGAGTCGATTACATGTGGGTTCGACATGGCCGCTGATCCTCGAGGGATGAGACGACATTTCTGATTGACCGTCGTCTCGGGACGTGCGGAGCGATGTTAGACGACACCGTCGCGAGCTATCAGGACATGTTGAACAGCGTTTCGGTACATATTCTGACTTGGCATATGACATCGACTGTGACGTATCCTGGGCCCAAAATACGCCTTATCAGCGACTTCATTGGCCTCCATTCCACACACAATTATTTGCATGTCTAGCTTCAATCCTTCGTTGGTCAATCCATTACTTGTCCTTATCGACACAAGACAACATGATATCGGACATTGGGCGGTGCTACTTTGTTTTCGAGGAGGTATACATATTTTTTTGTATTCCTCAAATGACGTTTCTTATTTATTATATTTCTAAAATATTCTCTTGAAAAGATAATTGGAGTAGTATTTTTTTTATTATACATTGTGGATCAATCCATAAGATAAATCAATCTAATTCTTCAAAAAATATCATAAATATATTTAAAAAAATTATAACTAAAATAAATATCTTTAATAAGGATACCTATTTAAAATTTTATTTTTTGTATGAGTTTATTTTTACTATGTTTGAATCTATTTACCTTAGTTATAATATTTTTTTGAATAAACTTATAGTTTCATAATGGATATACCAAAAACACTATAACTAATGGATACTGTAAATCTTATATATGGGCGATTAAACTAGTCTAGTCTATCTTATGGATTAGTCCATATAATATATCATATAGTTGTGTCGTCAAAAGATATTCCTAAGATTATGTCAATCGAATGTGTCATTTAAAAAAATACGAAGAAAAAGAATCTTCTTGAAAATAATTTTTATGTAGGGGACAAATATTTAAATATAAGGGTAGATATGTAATTTTAAGAATTAGACAGGGGCAAATATATAATTATACAAGGGTAGAGTAACTTTTATATAATTTATAATTATTTTTATTATTTACAATTTGATGTTAAGAACGTTGAATATTCTTATTATCCCTTTATAATTAGACATATAAGTCCTTAATTTAATTCCAATAAAATCTTTTTATTTTTTACGTATAATCTTTTTTCTTTTTCAATTTTCCCTTATGTTATTGATCATGAGGTAGCACGAAATGATAAAAATAAAATAGATAATTAAACGGGATGAATCGATGAATAAAAAAAATGTAGAGGTGAGAATTAATTTTTTATATTAATAATTTTAAGATTATATATATTTTGTAATAGTTCAAAAGATATCATCTTTTAGATTAATTATATTAATTTAAAAGATATTAGAGCGTTTATAAACTATCCAATAAAATAAATAGAATCGATGACAATAAAGTGCATAGGCAAAGATCGACAATAAAAAATAATAATAATTATAAAATTATAAAATTATAAAATAATAAAAAAATTATTAATAATATTTTAAATAAAATTATGAATAGTAAAAAATATTTTGAATATTAAAATGTGGCTCTAAATAATAAGCTCCAAACATAAAACGATATATTGATCATTATTTAAAAAAATAAATTTATCTTAATTGAAACAGTGTTAGATACGTATTCATCGTTGACTGGTTTTGCATGCGCATGCTGACGAGCACACGACCTCATCCAAATTGGCCGCCCAATGGCGTCGCCGTCTGCTTTCCTTTCGTGCTCGATTTAGTCCAATTAGGTGCCGAATTGAAGGTTTGATTTCGCGTTAATGTCCAATCGAAATGTGGAAGGTTTCAATTCACGGAGAAGAAGAAGAAGTCAGCTTTGGTGGTCTCCCCAGAGGCATATTGGTCATTTCGCAACAGGACATGGCAAACCACGTTTATATGCTCGAAGAAAGGGAGAGGGGAGACGACGGAGAGTCCGAGACCGAGGAAGAGAGATGGCATTCGGAGACGGAGAAGAGATCAGACTGCTGGTGGATGACCGTGGGATGTCTTCCCCCTGTTCTCCTGCTGCTGCTTCCATGTGTCTCTGCAGGATATGCCATGAGGAGGAGGAAGAGAGGTCCACGACCATGGAATCCCCCTGTGCTTGTTCCGGAACCCTAAAGGTAACAGCTTTCCGTCTTTTCTTGCTCTTATTTGGATTTCTTCGTGACCTGTGGACAAAGATTTGGTGTTTTTGATGCGGTGGTGATGCTGATTCGGTGTTCCACTGTTCCAGTTTGCTCACAGGGAATGCATTCAGAGATGGTGCGATGAGAAGGGAAGCAATGTCTGTGAGATATGCCTTCAGGTTCGAACCCCTTCATAGATAGAGGCATAGGTTGATGGTGGAAACAAATGATGGAGGACTTTTACCCTTTCTTTTTGAGCTTTTTTCTGTGGAAGAAAACTATTTCTTGCTAGTAACTGTTCATAGTGTTGTTATTTTTTTTTCTTCTGATTTTGGGGCGTTTTGTCAGCCAAATGCCTCTCAATCTCACATAGTTTTGGATGATAAAGTATGATCCCTTTTTCTTTTCCTTTTCTCGACAATAAGATGTCTTTTCCTTTAAAAGCAAGCTCAAACTTCTCAAAATTAACTTGTGTTCAAGAACTGAGAATAATAGGCAACTAAGTTTTTGGTTTCTGATTAGACCTTGATGTTTCAAGAATCACTTTGAATCCCAAATTTTTCTCAAAATTTCAATTTGTTTTTTTCTGATTAGAATTCATCTATGGTTTTCTTGTTGAAGATATGATTATTGGGTTAACAGTTTCATCAGTGATTAAAAATGCTTTCTCCACCTCCTCTCTACCTACCAAAGATCTTAGTAAAACTATGAGATCTTTGAAAGATGTTATGCAGCTTCTTCAAGTGTGTCAAACTGACTTATCTTATTTAAATATAGCTGTACTTTAGTCTAACTTGCATAACATTCAAATTCCAAGAGCTTTCCCTTCCAACTGATCTCTTGACTAAAACAAATCTTGCAGAAATTTGAACCTGGATATACCATTCCTGAGAAGAAGGCCTCGGTTGATGCGGCTGTGACCATCAGGTTAACTTTTTGACCATCATCCCCTCTCTCTTTCTCATCACAGACACTTTTCTTTATTACTAGATTCTGAATCCATGCCACTGGGGCCCACCTGATATGCATTATTGTGTTTGAATTCGAATCCTTTCTCTTTTGGTATGCCTGTGAGCTGAACACCTCCACCTCCATGTCCATTGCTGGTGGACCACCTGCACCTGTTGTACTTGCAGCTTTCTTTGATGATTCCCACCTATTGCTGATTTGAACTATGGATATAGTGGATGCAGATCAACTTCTCTTCTGAAACTTAACCTTGATGATGCATAATGATAAGCATTTAAGGTTGAACAGTAGAACTGATCTCGACCCTGATGCTAACCAGCTGCATTCTTCCTGAACAGAGGAAGCTTGGAGGTGCCCAGGCTCAATTATGACCCTCACAACCCAGAGTTCATCAGTGACAATAATTCCGACTTTGAGTGCGCAGAGGTCTCTCCTGCATCGCGCAGGCATGCCTCGTACATCCGATCGATCGCCCTCATGGTACGCGAATTTGTATCACAAATGAAGTACATTGTTTAGCTTGTTAATCAGACTGAAGTTGGATTCCCGTAGCTATATATTTTAGACCATGGAAGTTGATTCTTATAAGTTTGATCGCAGTTCATGATCGTATTGGTGATCAGAAATCTCGTTGCTGTAATCACTGTTGGTGCCGATCACTATGCATCTACCGTTCTCACTGTAAGAATTGGGTTTCTTCTGTGTGCCACTGATCACATATATGCAGTCAAATGATAATTAAAGATTTGGTGGAAATGCTTGTGCTGAAGGTGTTTTTGCTGAGAGCCAGCGGAATCCTACTGCCATTCTACTTGGTGATGCAGTTCGTTTCGGCATTGCAAGAAGCACAGCAGCAGGATCAGCTGCGGCGGTTCCATGTAAGTTTACATGGAAACAATTTTCCCATCCTTTTTCTAGGAAACAAACTGATTTATTTTCTTATTTTTTTGCTCATGGTGTTGTTGTCTGTCAAACACAACAGATAGTAGATGCATGGACCAGTCATAGATCGGAAGAAGAGGAGCACAGGATCCAAATACCTTCTTGACCGACCAAATCTTGACATCACTCAATATTTTGTGAAATCTTTTTTTTTATTCTTCTCTCTGTTGAGTTTCTGATTTCATAGTACATTTGTATACTTCCCTTTGCCTAAATCTCCACGGTTAGTGGAATTACCCCTCAATTCCTTTTGTTGTTATCAAAGGAAATGAAAAGAAGAAAGAATTTACCAGTACCGTCTGTCATGGGACGTATGTGCTCGTAGTTCTCCAACATGTGCAGGGGCACCGAAGTGTAGTCAGGCTTATGTCACAGTACACTGCATCATTAGGGGTACGACGTAAAACTTAGACCGTATCCAACCGAAGTGTAGTCTCGCTCACCACCATATCCAACCCACGCCGTAACACTTAGACCATAATCATTCCCTCCAACACAACCATTGTCATGCCCCTCCTCACCACTGTCATCAGCGTCACATTCGCCATGGCGTCCACGACCTCTGGCTCCCTCACGACTTCTAGCACCATTGTCACTTCACACTGGTGACAATGGTGAGGAGGCACAAGGCAAATGGGGTTACTAGTGGAGGGCAAGGTGGTGACAAATGACATTCGAAATTGTGAGAAAGTCAAAGGAGGTGACGATCATGCTAGCGACAATGGTGAGAAGGGGTGGAGTAGAGGGCATAGCAAAGACAAAGGGTACTATTGCACGACCGGTCGAGGTTCTCCGATTAGTGTTGGACTAGACAAAGGAGAGTGCAATGACGACTCTAGTGGTGGCTTATCGATAGTCAAGGGTGAGGGTCATGGTAGAGCTGGTGGAAAAATAATTTTCGTCAGTGGCAAAAAAATAAAGGGAAAGCCTGCAAGTAAAAATCAATTAGGGATAAAGACCTACAATAAAAACGTATTTTAAGGTAAAATGCCCTAATTATTCAACATGACACTCGACACAATACAAATGAATAAAAAACATGGATGTACCATTTCAATACGAGCAATATCTTCCCACGGCCAGTGATCATCAAACAATAGTAGTAAATAAGATGGTAGGATACTTTACTATCATCCAACAATTGATTTGTTGGCCTTAGCTATGCTTAAGTCCTTCGAGTGAGTTCATATGGAAATAGCACCTTCTATGGAAGAGAAATAATGACTTCACATCTCTATAGCCAATTGTCCAAAGATGCAATGGAAGATCGTGGTCTATATCTTTCAGACAAATTTCTATACAAGGAAAAGCATCCTTCATGCTAATCTCATGCTACAAGTGCAACAAATTTCTGCAATAGCAACAGTCCCTGCAATGATAAAAGATTAGAACGAAAGACATGTCAGATAGGATTCCATTAGAAGAATGGAGTGGCTTTCAGACAAAAAAAAAATTAAAAGAAAGAATAATAGAGTTGAATTATGACTCAATCTGACGAAACTATCAGAAGAAATGTGTGCATACATGAAATGGCCGATAAACTAAATAGAAGAGAAGCCCACAACGCCTCTATTTTCTTTTAATTTTCATACTCATTTTACTGTGTCACTAACTCCCTGAAAACTTTTAAGAAAGGTTTGAACATCTTATTCTGAACCAATAGAATCTTCCAAAAAACTGCTTAAAGCAACTATAATTCACATCATAAGACTTCTGGGCTCCCCAGGTATAACTGATCGTATGCACGTCTATTTGAGCATTTAAAATATCTTTTACCAGTCACTTCTCTTCATCATCAACCTTCAGCAAGTAACCTCTATGATATAGATTACTGGGACACAACCAGACTCACCTGCCCGAATAAAGAACCCCTGGAACAGAAAATTTTCAGAACTTGAAATAACAAATCATTGGTGATGCAGAAAGAGATCTGAACAACCGATAGAAGAAATGCCAGCCTCACCAATTGAATTGGTACATGGAAAATAGTTCAAGAACAAGTTATTTTTGTATCCTGGTTGCCTGAAGAGAAGCAGATGTTGCTGAAGCTTCTGCTATTAGTGATATAGGTTGCCTAGCCTGCAAACATGCACCTATATCAAATGGGTGCAACTGTGACCCGTCAAACAATAGATTAACACCTGGTAGGACAACTTCTCTGCTGTCTAGCTCATCGGATTCATGTTTCACTCCACTGGCAGGGGTCGACCCTTCATCAGGTTGTGTAATGGCCTCATATACAGGACTAAGCGCATAGGCCCTGCAGGCAGAAGTTTGGAAAAGTAGGAATGAGTATTGTGGATTCAACAATTATACATGAATGGTCAATGAAACATTCACTTCAATATACTTGACATCTGATGATTGTATACTGATTTGAAGAAGCTTAAGAAAATACCAATGACTACATACTGCAACAACTTATAGAATTCCCATAATTAAGCCCTAGACAGAAAGATTTGTCAAAAGATGAGAACCAATTGTGACGATTATGCAGCTATTATATTCTGAACTAAGGTTCAACATATATAGTTTGAAATATCGACCACACCGGTTGGTACAGATTGGTATTTACTAGTACATGTTATCGGTATGTGGATCTGACAAGTTGGCCTTATTAAATTTGGTACAAGGGTTATGCCCGGTATACTTATCATGCCAGGTGGTCCAATTGAAATTCAACTGATACACACTGCCCAGTACTCAGACATAACCACCAATTTCAATCTCTGACCTGAATCAGCCCCATTTCCCATTTTCATGTTTGATGATAGATATATAATAATGTTGGGTCAATGTCATACTTATTATATGAAGTAACAAATAGCTTAATACATCTTAATATAAAATTACCTAAAAGAATTTTCCATCAGATTTCTAGGAAGTGGAAAAGTACTTCCAACAATTTAGAGAAGTTTGTTCTCGCTAGCTAAAAGGAACTCAAAATTGACCATGAAAAAAGCTTTTCAGCTTGATAAGTCCATCAGGATAGAACTGTTGGAACTGAAGCAGTCTCAGAAATGTTTCTGTAGAGATTCTAAAGTTCAATCAAACTTCCCAACCACAAAATGTACATTCTCATTGAGATAAGTCCAGTAGAACTATTAATCCAATTCACAATTGATGTTACAGAAGCAGAAGTATATAGAGTATCATGTTGAAGTACCTGAGTATGTTCCCATCAAAACTCAGAACCTCTGTTTGGCATCTTTGTCGATTTGCAAGCTTGAGCCTCTGGTGTTCACTGGAGGTTCCAGAGATTGCTGTTGAAGGCTCCAACAGTGGGTTCCATCTACCACTTGCATAGCTTGTCAGTTGACGAGGTGATTTCTTCACATGTTCCATGTGGTGAAACGACTTTGCAGCAGGACCTGTTGCTTGGTATTCAGAACATAATTCGTGTAATCTTCTTCTTAGACTTTGCATTGCAACATTGTGCTCACTAAGCGAATCTGTTTGTAGTAAATGTGATGAAACTATCCTTTCACAAATTCTGCCACATAATTTGGGACTAAATAGAGGAATACCAAATTCCAAGCTCAAAGGAACCCATTCATATTGTTCATGATCTGGTGTTAACAAGTCTGATTGTATTCCCTTCCAGAGTCGTATAAGGCGAACGTAACCTACTGTATATAACTCAATTTTGCTTGAGAGATCATTTAACAATGAATTTAAGTTTGCAATTCTCTCCTGGTCTAATTTCATGTCTAACCCTACAGGTTGAACCAATCCATCAAAGTTCTTAAGCGGCAATGCAATATCCACTGTGACAATCTTTCCAGAACTATCAAGATCGTATCTACTTAAGGGTTGTACTAGAACAGCTGAATGCTTAAGCATTGAGTTTAAACAATGCAAAAGCACATTTCCATTAACCAAATTTCCCTCAAATTTGCCTCCTAGACCTCCTACTATGGAACCATCCCACGACCATATTAGTGCTTTTTCACAACCAGCTAATGGTGCAGGAAGAAACCTCAGACACTGCCCCTTCATCAGAATAACTGACAGAGGTCCGCTAACCATCAGTCTATACAAAACTAGTTTCATCCATGGCGTCGTTGAAGAATATGAGGGTGGTCCAATATGGATCGGACCTGAAGGTCCAGGTAAAACTGATGAGGCAGGAAGTGGAACCATAGATGCAATGATATCATAGTCTCTAAGAAGTAGTCGTTCTAGTGTTGCTGGTGCAAGAGTGGCCAAGCTTTCACAACGAAGAATATCAACACGGTACTTCCGTTTTCTTTTTAGAACAGTCCTTTCATTTTCTGAACCACCTGAGTACGTAACTCTCTGATCATTCTGTAAATCATAATCAGGTTTGCATGTGTTATTTTCAGCTGAAGTACCTGAACATACAGGAGTAGAACCATTTACAGAGTCAGATTTGTCTGGAGATAAATCAGGCTGGGGAACTTCAGTATGACCGTGTTCCAAAGAGTCATCATGATTTGCTTCATTTACATTAGAATCACCAGATTCCTCAGAGATACTAATTTCGGCTGCAACTGAAGTAATGTCATCAATGAAGGAATGTGTATCAGTTGGATTACTCGCTATGTCAAACTTCTCATTGTAAGCTACTCCACCAGATCGAAGACACTCTAGAACACATCGAAGGCTATATGCATGGTTAGCAAATTCCTGTAGTTCACCCTCATACTTTTTTCCCTCTAAAGTTGAGAGATCCCTGCAAAGTTCTGCAATACTAGAATCACCAAGTTTTCCTGCTTCATATAGTGTTACAGCATGAGACTTCAACCCTGCAAGTAGCAACTAAACAAGTCAATTAAGAAAGTTTAATTCAAGGTTCTCAATTTCGATGTGTACTACTCGGTATGAGTGGTACGTACCAGTTCGAGATGATACCGGTACATGGACCATCCTTTACCGAGCGGTACCAATGTTTTGACCCGTATCGAACAGTACGAGGTTTGTACCGAGCGGTAACAATCAAAATCAGACCGTTACCGAGGCATACTGATCAGTACGCCCTGAATTTCGATTGTTACCGAGGTTTACGGTACACCCCAGATTTCGATCGTTCCTGAGGTGTACCGATCGGTACACCCCACTATTTTTGGATAGTAATCTCCAGGTATTTTGGAGGTTTTTTAGCTTTTTTTACCGATGTACCATCGGTATGCATCGGTACGTTCCATACCGAGTAGGGCTCAGTACATCGGTACGAACCGAAATTAAGAACCTTGACTTAATTAAAGTACTGCTAGAACATAGTACTAGGGAATGAAGAAATCAATAGGTAAAGGTGCTTGATGAACATAACTGGATGTGTAACTTAATTAAAAATAAAATACACTTCAAAGTTGGTGCCTGCCTTCAAAGGTTGGTACACTGCCTGGTATACCAAAATTGTATCAGGGAGTTCTGGTTGAGTTTTGTAAAATTTTACTTCAAACTAGGAAAAATGAGAGGAAATCCTAGTCTAAGTACTATTGAACTACCCAATGGAAATGAAATTCCCATTTTTTACCAAGTCAGCATGAATATTTCTCTCGTCTTGTGACAACTCGTATCTTCAAATATTCGACAGGATGGTAAGGAAAATATGACATCATGCCACACTCAGCATACCAAATGAGTTCATTACGTTCCATTTCCAAAACCACAATTCTTATTATGGTCCAAACTCCAAAAGAAGTTCCTAAAAGCCTAAATGGAATAAATTATTAAATGTGACTTCTCAAGTGCTTACTTATTGTCCAATCTGGATATACAGTCATGATTCCATCCTCTAGAACGAAACAGAAATGCAATAAAAATGAACTAATTTGAGGTACTTCTTGTTGCTCTAAAGCTCTCTCATCAGCAAGCATTAAGCTTGTCCTCTTTGTTGCCTTTTTCAAATAATTAGTTCTTGGACTTTGCACTTCAAAATTTTTTGTTTGAGTTTTCAACTTACTCATAATGACCTCTTATTCATGTGTACTTCTATAATCCCTCAAGAAATCCTACAAAGCCAGCAAGCATAAAATGCTATAGACTATAAATAAGTTGTTTCATATTAGCACTGCATACATTGACATATGAATTCTAAAATAGCCAAATTAAAGAACTATAGAAGTTCAGCAAACAAGTTCACATGTAATTTACCATCCAAAATTCTGTATGGCTACTCAGACTCAATTCTAAAGATTAAATAGATTTTACAAGGAAAAAAATGGAAAATTTCTTTCCATAACAAAAGTTTAGAGAAAAATCATCATAAATATTTAAGGTGCTGCAAATTTACTTTTGATAGAGAGTGCTAATCTCATGAAAGTTACAAACAAGTCGAAAGACAGTATAGTGCAACCCAATGTACAAATGGTTTATCAATCCCTAGAACCAACAGTAGCCACAAGAAGGAAAATAATGCTAGAACTATAAATAAAGCATCAGGATGCAATCTGAAGACGGGCATGCAACAAAAATGAACCGAACCTGGTGAGACAGATCCCATCATTAAATAGGAAGTAATATTGGCATCAACAACAAAAGCAACATGAGCAGTGCCTGAAATCATTCTATCCTTTTCAATTACTAGATCATGACTATGCTGGCCAGACTTTTCTGAGTTGATGCTAGCAGTAGAAGCCTCTTCATCATCACTTAGTATATTACTAGGGTAGCCAGGCATGACAGAATCTCGAAGGATGGATTCCGGATCCAAAAGTTTTACAGCCCAGCCTAATCGGCAAGCAAATGATGCAGCAGCCTGGAGCTGAGAAAGGTCAGCCTGGAGGGTTGCAGCCAACTCAGCAACGGTAGCATTCTCACTCGAGACAACAAAAACAGCATATAATAACCTGCAAAAAGTTCCATATATTTGATTAAAGATATCTTACAAGTGAAGAATTTTCAATTCAAAAGGCATTCTTTTATCATATAGGTTCAACAATCTGTCGATTGTACTAAATGTATCTTACTCTTCTATTGGATCTTCATAGGACTGTTCCCTGTTTGAAACAAATCCTTCCAGCCTGGAAACTGAATAAGTAGAAGTCAATTATGTGATCATAGTCCAAGAGGATAAACACACAGAATTGTGATAAAGGAAGGAATCACAGATTACTATAATGTAACATCAAACTCAAGCTTCGCTTCATTGGAAACTTTTATGATTTTGATAGAGGTTTGAGAATTATATATAAAATTAAACTTGTGCACATCAAAGAACAAACATGGGTTTCTGCAAAAATAAAAATGGTATTACTTGCAGGTCCATTTCTATTGCAAATTTACAAGTAAAGATAGATGTGGTCATAAAATTTTGTTGGCAAGAGGTATTACAGGATTTTGTTTTCCCTGACAAATAGAATGCCTGAACTAGATATAAAATTGGAGGATATTACCTTGAAGCAGCATATCCACAAAAAAGTGATAGATATGAAAGAGAAAAGGCAAGAGAGAGAATGATGCTGAGATATCAATGGCAAAAGGGAAACTAGGAAAAGGTTAAGGTTGTCCGCTGCTGTAGCAGTTTTCATTTATCAGAACTTCTTAAACCTAATTTTTTAACAAGTATTGCACATATCAGGCTATTATGAAATCCATAGCTAATCAGGAAAATAATATATGCTCAGATATAGTTGAACTTGAACATGATGGGGATAATTGTCACCTATAACGTGTTTTTCTGTTTTTTCTTCGGAATGAAGAACAAGAGACAAAAAAGAGAGGACAAGAGAGTTTGGAGAGATGAGAGACAAAAAAGAGAGATAAATCAGTGTGCAGGAGAGGACAAGAGACAAAGGAGAACTATAGAGAGACTTATTATGCAAGTGACAAGACAAGAGTTACATCAACTCATATAACTCATATATATTAAATAATAAAACATGAACCCTAGTAAAAACAAAAAAAAATAACTTAACTGTTGTATTCTCCCTTGCCCGACACCTAGTGGTAGACTAGAGCATGGTTTGTTGCTTCCAAAGGTCGGCGACCACATCCAACGATTGGCCACCGATCTAAGGTTGGGCAAACAGGACATCCTTTCCCATTTGAGACTCTCAAAGCGGTAAAAAATCTTTCGCCTTCCTTTTAATATGCGTTGTCCATAACTCCATATTCCAAGCTGGTAAAGGGTATGTTTGAATGAGTTCGGATGAAATTAGAATTGACCCTAGGAGATAAGGTTAAGATGGACTGAGCTCACCTGAATTCTAATACAACTTAAGAGTCAATCCCATCAACCCATCAAAAATTGATAAAAGCTAGTTAAACTTCTGAATTAGATAGAATAAGTGTTCATGGTTGCCCCTTGTAGTAGCGCCCCATCACATCTTGGTTCAGCTAGAAAGGCTCCAGGGTGTCATACTGGTCTGCCTACGAGTTTTCCTAAGATGATGGAGGTCTGGTTCCTATAAATACTATATCCTAATTATTTTCCCCTATTAGATTCACCTTGCTCCCAAGGGTATGCAGATATAAATTTTCGCATTAATTGATCTTCTATAGCCATAGTTGCATATTTTTTAGTGCAGTCATTCCATCAAACAAGCACTTCAGTCTAAATCCTTCCATAGATTGCGCAATGCTGCTTTTGATTAATCTCCACATGTTTACATGGTTTCAATCAATTCTGGTGGCAATAACACTAAGGTGACATCAGGCTCTCCTTGGTGTTGTTTTCCAGATTGGACACATGGAATACATCATGTATTTTTGCATCAAAGTTGGCTCTAATTATAGCAGCTTGTCGTATTCACAAAATTACCATAACAAGGTCAAATGTAGGGATAGCTTGCTATGTCCTATTTACACAATAAACTGTAGATACCTGGGAAATCAAAGCATCAACTAAAAATTCTTTTTCTTTATGGCGATCACATACACGCAATTCTAGAAAATTTTCAACTGTTACATTCTTGTACCTCTGCATTAACTATATATCAGCTTCCAATGAAGTTGGTTAGTGGCAAAGTTATAATACCTCAAATGATGTCAAAGTGACTGCAAAGTGAAATGTAATGTTTTATGCCCATTTTGCTCCTCTTCTTTGGTTGTTCTATAGAATTACTAAATTAAGTCTCAAGCTCTCAGTTGGACAGCCGTCTAAGGGTGATACTACTCATTCTGAATTTGGTTTCCTGCAATGCAACTTTAACTTTGCCACTAACTTAACTTTCAAAAGTTAAAAGACTCCATTCTTAATCTTAATTTTTTAGACATGTTAAAGTTGATAAAACCATAAGAAGATACAGTGCCTACTAAATCAGAAATCAGTTTAGGATTTTATATGGGAAGTAAATGCAAAATTTTAAGCTTTCAGGTTCACCTGATATGACATGCATTGACATTTCATACATGTACTTTAGTGTTTGAATTGGATGTACTCTTGTGTTTCCTCCTCGAAAAAATCTTCTCGAGACTCTACTTACCATCTACCTCAAAATGTAACTCATTGAGTCAATCCTTGTTGACAGTAATCAAACTCCAGAGAGGTTTAACCAAATAATAGAATTGGTGACCAGAATCTACCAAGAGCTACCATGTAATGAGGTATTCATACAATAAACTTCAAAAATCATATAAAAATGTGTTGAAAAGTTAGAACATGGTACTCACAAAAAACAACCTAACAAACATAAATGTTAAGAACACCAATAATATAGAATTTCTGGAAAATAAAAACAAGTAGCACATAATGTTCTATGGAAATTCCAACTAGTAAGTTCCAAGACTGAACAAAAGATGAACAAACAAAACTCCTACTCAGAAGCAATTGATATAATTCTTTAAAAAATTCAACATCTATTGCATTTCAACAAAAAGTGGATAATCATGTTGCTTGATACAAGGATTGTTATACTGTGTACTAATCCCAATATGGACCAGTACAGATAATCATGCCAACACCGCTCGGTGATTGGACCAGTACGGATTGACACACTGATAACCAATATGGGTCAACATTGTCCAGACTAGAGAGGAAAAAGAGAGGAGCAGAAAAAGGAGAAGAGGATGAGAAGGTGGAGGAAACACAGAATAAGGGGTAAGTTGACTGGCAGAGGAGAAGGCAGTAACACATACCCAAGGAGGAGAAAGTGGCAACATGAGCAGAAGGAAGTGACGACATAAGGTGGAGAAGGCATCAACAATTCAAGAGCATAAGGAGAGTGGTGATGCAAAGAGTTGGTGGATGTGGAGGACAGAGAGTTCTTTTTTTTTTTTGGTGTTGTGTGTTGGGGGGCGGGGGGGGGGGGGTTGGGGCAGGGGGCGGGGGGCGTGACAGCAAAGGCTCGAAGGCAAAGGGAAGAGAGAGAAGAGAAGTTGCAAAGAAAAGTTATTGACAACTATCAACTGTCAACGACTGAGAAGAAGGGAGAAGGAACCATATTAAGAAAATAAAAAAAAAAACTTTAGAAATTAATTAGTGTCAGTTGGTAAGTCTCATGCCCAGAATAACTCTGCATCAATCATCTTACCTAGGGGTGTACTCACTTAGATAATGCTAGTGAACGATACACTCAGAATTAAACCAAATCAGATAAAATCGTCCAGTCCACGTATCAGTCAACCATTAGACTAGTAAGTACTCAGTCCTTACTGATCTGTACACTTGGTATAAAAAATATTCATATTTCCGTTTTTTGGTTTTTAATGCCTGAAAATAATAACATGTTAATGTGTATTATGGCCATATGTATCAATTAGGACCACAATAATGTATCATGAGCATAATATCTCAATAAAATACAATGTGATAATTTAGTGAGCAAAGCAAACTATCATAATAAATAACCACCAAAATGTATTGTTGCAAAACTAATATAACCCATCCTAAAAGTTTAAAACTATCAGGAGACTAAGGGGTCTACCTTTTCTAATATTAATTTCATACAAGTAATACAATCCTGTCAATATTCCCATGGCATGTTATGTTAATAGACCTCGTGGTACTACTAAATATGGCAAGTACAATGCATAGGGTCCAGTAAATTGACATCTGCCAGATGGTCTATGTGTATAAAGCAAAAAGCCCCATCTGTGAATTGGCTAGATTTGATAGCTCTCTAATATCAATTTTTACATATTACATACAATAGGTAAATGTATTGTGGTACTGTCGTACGTACCTTTAAACCGATCATCAGGATAAACAGGAACATCAAAATATACTAATCCCCTTCTGTAAAGACCTTTAACAATGTCAGGATCAAAAAGAACAAATGAATTTGCTTCCTCCTTGCAGACCTTGTCTATAGTTGCCATTTCTTCTTCAGTGAGTTTCTACAAGAGTATATTACATTACTAGAACCAGTTATACTCAGTATGATAAGTTGGTATTGGCATCATCAAGAAAGAAGTGGCATTTATTTCATGATCCTATTCCTAAATTAGTTTCATGAAGTAAATTTGTGCTAACTCAAATGTCCATGGATGAAAAGTGAAACTTCATGGTTCAACAGGGATGTTTATGCTTATGTACTTCATCTATCAAGCTCACTTATCATAGATGTTTATATACTTTCTGACGATTTATGAACAAAGTTTGCAAGAAAAGGCACCTTAAATTCTTCCAATGTAAAGTTAACAAGGCAAACTCCCCACCATGGTTCAACAGGGAAATCTACAGGCTGTGTGGGCAGCAATTCCTTAGCAATTGACTTGTTCAGCTTCCACATAATTTTCTGGATCTCTCCAAGAAAACATAATAGTCAAGGAAACAGCAAAACAGCAGCAGCTAGAACTAAAAGTAAGAAGAAAGAGAAATATAGACGAAAACAACATAAATTAACTTCATTTATAGTGTCACATTACTATAATAAAGATCAAAGAAGTTATGTCAATCCATGGAATCATCTGCATAAGTTGATAGATATTAAAATTTCCAAAATACCATATCATGCAAAAGCAAATTCAAGCATTTATTATTCTTTTAAGATTAAAAAAACCCGATAAAAATGATTATCACAACCAACTTGTATCAGCAACTGCAGTTATCAAGTTCAAGAAGTCTATCACAGCCATATGAACGCAAAATAAATGTTTGTACATCTTGATTTCCTTCGTAATACATCGATTGCTTATTTATATATGTTAATTTAGAGATGCTTGTTTCATGAGGCTTTCAGCCCATTTATTGGAAAGATCACTATTCCATGCCAATAAAACATGGATCTTGGTAACACAATTACAACTAAAATGTATACTTTACATCTCACTTAAACAGGTAAACTCTAAAGTGATTGTTTAATTACCCTTTTGCAGCTAAGTGGTAGATACAATTTGGAGAATCTGCATCAAACTCAAGGAAAGTAACAATGAAGGTTCTATTACAGGCCACTTCACCCATTGGTTGAGATCATAATCGATCTATATTCATTTTGATACTCTCAAAAGTTTGCAACCATCTTTCTCTTTCTTACAGATGCTAGGAGAAACTTGTATACATTCATTATAACATATCTTTGAGGCTGCATTATTACGAGCTAGATAAGGAAAAATAGGAGCTAGATTCATTTGTTATGGAGTTATACGATGATGACTTGGCCTGCAAGATAGATTGATATATTGAGTACAACATAGTGAAGAATCTGGGTAATTCACTTCTAGATGTGGCAAGAGATCCACCAGCCCATCTTGTTTTATTCCATAGACGGTCAAGGAAGAGGAATGACAGGGGTCACAGGAGGCTACTCAGTTTCGACGTGGTTGTGCTACAGGCAGTCAATCCTTCATGGGTCATGGTAGAGCATATCAGAATCAATCATCTGATTATCACATCAAAGAAAAGATAGTTCATTGCAATTAATTGACCCTTTAGATATACTTGATGAGCAACAGGTACAGTCCATTAACAAAAGATCTCCCTCTAAATCCCACACTTTGTGATGTCTGATGTAAAGATTAACACATTTACCAATGACAGTAGCCAAGATTAAGGATCTTATGTCCTAGCTACACAGACAAAAACCAGCAGGACATGGACTAGGGAAAATATTTCAGTCATATCACCCATAAAGAAGATTATAGCACATGCGGATCCACACAACTTCTTGATGACTTCAGGGAAATCTATAAGGTTTGTATGGTCTCGAATCAGATAAAAGTTCCTCATATTAACATCCTTCCTACCAGCATGCACTTCATGTCAAAACTTGCGTATATTTACTGATTATTAACTCTTATTATGTTTAACTTAATGAAAAAACTCTACACAAGCCATACCCATGTCAACTAATAAGGTACCGTATCAACGTGAAGGGCTGGTACAGGTCTTGGACCGAGATTTTGAACATTGGTTCGAAGTAATTAGCAACTTTCAATTTGAATGGAGATGGCCTTGTTAAATGATGCAATATTGCTTAAATAAAATTATTGTTGACAAACAACCTAAGCCACATATAGAAATCCATCTTCTCTAGAGTGGGACTATAGAGAAATTACAATCTTCCCCACTATAAAGGGCACTACATATAACTTACACTTCCCTACTAGAAGCATATGTGGAGCAAATCAAATGGACTTTCACTAAGCTCTTTCGTATATCTTTGGTGGTCGTAACTACCTCATCAGGACAACAATAACTATTTCAACATCAATCTAACTTACAAAAAATTAGCTTCCACCAAATAGCCTAAGAAGTTGTTATGATATTATTATCTAGGTATGCAAGGAACTCTTGCAAAATGCCAATTGGTTATCTACTCATGAAAAGACTTAGAACCAACAAGTTTCTTCTCTTCATCAATCTCAATTAACCAAAAGATAATTAGCACTATTTTACTTCCTCAAGATCATGACCTTACCACTTTCGCTTTTGTTGCCCATTATAGTATTCACCAATCGGACAACCAATCAGCATATGGATTTCACTATATTTGGTCTGGTATGGTTTGTATCACCTATTAAATTCACCCCACCAAATGGTGAATAGACTTATACCAAACTGTATCATGCAATTGTACCCTTTTTCAACAAAGATCTATGTGCTCCCATAGACAGATACATATATAATATATGTTATGCATAAAGTATAAGCATGCATTTCTACCACAAATAATTGAAACTTACTGCTTATTTTTTTGTTTTTGCACATATTTCTATGTATAACATACCTAAAGTATTACCAATTCATTAAAGAAGTGCTAATATTGCATAAAAAGAATATTAATACATACACAAGAACTGAGAATTCTACAAAATATTACATTAAGTTGGATTTGTCAAACACATGACAATATGTTCACTTTCTACTTGCATCAATCCATGCATATAGGCTATAAAGTATAAACTAAGAATTATCTAAAGTTCATCAAGCAATAACAAAAACCAACATTCAAAAGTAAACCCATTCCCACCAACAAAAAGAAATCTGGCAAACCCTTTATATGCACACATGATAAGGAATTAGAAGACCTTTGATCTGCACTTGTTCATAATATCAATGTATTCATTACGTCCAATTCCTGTAAGCCTCAGAGCATCTGCGGCACTGAAATTGGGGATGCTATCATAAGGCTGCTCTGCAAAATGTTTTTGGAACATTAGTATATATTCATACAGTTCTTTCCAGATCATAAAACAAGTATAAGTTCCTTAGGTAAAGTTACCCTTTTTTTTTTAATGTACATATATAGGACATGGAAAGATTGGAAATGTCAGAAAGGAAAAGACTATAAGGCTGAAACTAAGCACTCCAAAGAATCTAATCAAGATAGCATTTTCTTTTATCCAACCATCTCACAATAAATAATATGTGGACATCTTTAATTATCTTCATTAAGAATTAAAATGTTGAAACTCATAAAGTAGTGAATATCACATCCTGGTATATGTGGATGTAGTATTTATAGGACAAGAAACCTATATCAATTTTGAAAGAAGCAAAATATAATTGAGAAACTTGTGCAACGATATTTATAGACACGTGAGAACTTTACTAGCAATTCAAGTCTGAAAACATATTGATGTAAAAGTGAACATCATAAACTATCACCATTCACCAGCCAGATAGCACTTAAGGCAGCACTTAGAGATATATTATAGTGATGAATAACTGCCAAAGTTAAGTTAAAATCAATTGCTGTTCAGATGAGTTCATTCAGTGGACAATATACTAATATAGCATTGCTGTGTGAAGACAGAAAATACCAGCAACATTACTGTCATATTTTGAAAAAACTTAACTGAATATTTATAGAAATTTAGAAGCAACCACTCCAAGGTGAGACAAAGAAAAGAGGAAAAATCTAGGGAAAGGAGTCAATAGGAATAAGGCATTACCATTCTTTAAAACTTCAAAGATCATGTCACAGTAATATCTGAAAGGTGACACCCTCAGTACACGACACACATATTCTGCAAGATGATAGGGAAATAACTGCAGAAAAAACATATCAACTTAAACAGATGAGAAAAAAATCCACAAGATTTAGAAACAGGGACACCTAACATTATAAATCCAAAGTTAAAGAGAAAGTGAAAAATAAAACACAAGCTGAGATCACAAGGTCTACAAAATTACCACAAAGGTCAAGAGACAGACTGGGCTAGAAGATCCATGTAAATTCATAAAATATTGGTGAAAATATGAGTGAATCAATAAGAAAAGAGGTTCCAGGACATACAGCAAGATTCTTACGCAGATAGCGCATCATTTCTTCATAATATTCTCCCTCTTTACAGACTTTACGTGCAAAACATTGATTCCATTGTAGACGCTTCCTGATGCAGTAGTCTATGATTCTGCAACCCATGAAGAAAAATTCAGTATTGACAACACATACCCTCCATGGAATTTGTAGCATACAAGTGAGATATGGAACCAAAAAGAAAATATCAAAACACATAGCCATCGAGGTTCTGCCCACAGAATTAACAAAATAACAATGACTGGCAACCTCATATAAGAATCTGGAAAACATACTACAAGAATTTCTTCACTCTTAATAAAAGTGAAAATGCAAGAGCAAAAGATCTAGTTAGGAATACAGATGCATAAGAAACAGATAAAACAGCTACAGGAAACAATCAGAAGTGGCAAACAAGAAAGGGTAGATAAAATATTTGAAGTTTTGTTGGTAACAAAAAGTGCAGTGTCAAGGTCTGACTACGATGCTGATATGAGTGCTTCGACCCTCTCATAAAGTTATGGTAAGCTCTTCATGAAAGATGCAATTAGATGCAGCAAATGGAGCTCATTCTAGAATTTCATGATAAGAAAAACCTAGCTAAATAACGGAAAAGAGGTCACAACAAAGTGTTTTACCGTTCAAATAGCACGAATCACAAGTTCTTAATGCATACATCCAAAAAATTTGAGCAAAAGAGCAACTTGCAAGTTCTATTTTTCATTTGACATATTTCCGATCTTACTGCTATCAACTAGACTATGCCCGATCTAACTAGTTAGTCCAAATAATATAATGATTCCGAGCACGGGACCTTTTATGCCACTCTTCTTTTGAAGTCAACGTCAGTTGAAGTCTCTTCGGCAGGTTCTCCCATGGGCTCTCTTCCCTAATAGCGTTCAGAAAAAGCTGGTCGTCAATCGTCGCCGGAATGTGCTGCATCCTCCAAATCAAACACTAAACTACTGCACAACAAAAAAAGAAAACAAAATTAAGTCTCATCGGCATCAATCTTTCAAAAGCAACTTCAGAATCGTAGCCGTAACAAGGATGACTCAAACAAAAGAGAGCCACCGGAGGATCCGAGCTGCAATCCCTTTGAGTTAGCAACAAAAACCTAGTAAAAGAGACTGAGATCTGAGATCGAGTTAGGGTTTTGGAAGCACGGGGCGAGTACCAAGGAGATCGAGCTCGACTGGCTTCGGATCTCCGCTGGGGGCTTCCAGAATGGCAGTCGACGACCCAATCGGAGCACTCCTCCACTCGCGAAGCCGGACCCCGTTCCGCGCAATTGCTGACTCGAGTCCAACCCCGAGCTCGGACCGTCCTCCCGGCAACACGTAGAGAACCGGACAAAATGACGCATCCAACGCAACGCAGTTTGGAAGAACGGTTACGTAGTAAGCGGTTCTCTTGAATGTTGAAGGATCTTCTACAATTATTCTACGTGATCCATCGGACCGTAATGGGGTGACTCATCAGCGAAGTGTTGATATCGGAAGTTTAACGATTTAATTTAAAGGTGATGTTGGAGAGGATCTTCTTTCTAGTCCTTCCAATCCCGTAACACGATGGTCCGTTCAAAATTGGGCCCGTACATGGCCCATTTGTATCTGACTGGGCCTCAACAAATGTGCCGGCTTAGAATGGTTGAGCGATAGGCCGAACCGGCAGCTGGGTCTAACAGGTCTGGGTTAAGTCCACCATAGACTAAATTAGAAGATGATCAATTTGAATTTGTGGGGATTAGTTGTATTTTGTCACTCAATTTCACATGAAATATGAAAATATATAGACAAGAAAATTTATATCCATCACACACTTAATTAAAACACCCAATAAAAAAATCTCTCATATTTTAGACCCATCAAATATCAATGTATAAATATATATATGAAAAATATATATTTATATTACAATAAGAACAAATAATTCATTATTATTTGTATATATTTATTACAATAAGAACAAATATATATTTATATATAATTCAGTCGTCTCCTTAACAAACATCATTTTCCATTCCACGGTCGCAAAGATGGACATTATTATATTACAATAAGAACAAATAATGCTCGTCTTTTTAGCTCTCATATCTCTGTGGGAATGACTTTGGAGTATTATATATGCTTCCAAATCTAAAAGAAGCCAAGAGTTCAATATTCTTGTATAAGAAAGACCATGAGGACAAAAGCACTAATCTCCAGGAAATCATTATTATTGGAACCCCCCCTCTCTCTCCTTGACTGTTGTCCTCCCAGAGAGAAAGGTAGCGAGTGTGTTGAGAACATTTGTTTGGGAGAAGTATGAGATAAGGTTTGCTTAATATTTAATGAATGCTGCAACTAATGCTTTGACAGTTCCTTCAAAGTTGTGGCTGCCGAAAGTGGAGAAGGTTGGGAATAATTAATGAATGGATAAGGTTTCCATGAATTATTTATAGTTGCTTATTAAAAGTCAAATTGATTTTATTATTATCATTGAAGAACAGCCTATTTAAACAATACTTTTATCAGTGAAAGAGCTAAGGAGGTCAACAAGATTTAGATTATTTATATTAAGTTCATCAAATCATCAGCAATTTTGATCCAAACAAATGTGCTGAACCCTTATTCTAAGAACAAAAAAAGAAAAATTAACAATTTCTATTCACTTCAATGTCAACAATCTAATTCTATTTTTTTTTTTACAAAAGATAAATAGTAAAGACTATATTTGATGTCAGATCTTACTATCAAGAATCAAAGTTATTACACTAATCAAATAAGCTAAAATAAATGTAAGATTTAGTTCAAAAGAAAGATTAATATCTGTTTGAACATTAATTATTAAATTTTGTTGTAAATTTTCTTACCATTTTATTTCAGTTAACTAATAATTAATCAAGAAAAAAGAACAATTAGTACTACAAATGATCCAAAAATATCACTTTCTTAACTTTAAAATCCATCACAACTAAGTTATTTATTTTTTTAAATATATCAGATAAAATTTTAAATCTTTAATTAGTATTTAATAAACGAGTATGATATACTATCAATTTTTTCTAAAAAAATATATATTTGATTATGTTAAAAATATTTAAATTTTTATTTATAATTTGTATTAAGTTTTTAAATCTTTCTTTTATCTCCTCATATCATTAATAATTTTTTATTTTGTCATTCCATATATATATATATATATATATATATATTAATCTAAAAAATATAACGTCTGTTCTACAACTGATATAATATAAATATATATAAAAGGTAAGTGGTAAATCTTATGATATATTATATAAATGTTTAACAGTTGGTTGACAGATACTGTTATTCTAACCATTTTGAGAAAAAGGATAAAATTGCGTTCGTAGGCCCCTCCAACATTATTATAGAAAGAAGCAAAGAGCAAATAAAAAAAGCGCATGAGAAATGAGTAAAGCGAAACGGAGCACTTCATGGATTAAAAGGTTCTAAAAACCCTAACAGCTCACGGATCGGAATCCTACCCATGGAATGGCGACCTCCGATCCCTCCCCGGTCATCGCCCTCGCCGTAGCCAGACCGAGCCCGTCGAGCTCCGGATCCTGCGATCTCTTTCCCTTTGATCCGTAAAGCTCGCCGGTGCCCGCCGCTCCCGCTCCTGGCCTGCCCAGCTCCGAGGCCTCCATGCGCTCCCCGCCTCTTGCCGGATTGATCTACGCCGAGTTCTGTGGATCTGTGTCGCATTTTTCGGCCGTGATCGGCGATGGGGGGTTTTGGGCGAGCGCCGAGGATTTCACACTGGAAAGGTACCGTTTGTTCTTGTTTCTGTGATTACTTGATTTCACTTGGTGTTGTAGAGCGATTGTTCGCTGGAAGATCACGTTGTGGGTGTGTCATAGCTATTTTTCGAGTTTGGTGCGTAATGGCGGTGGGGCTTGAGGTGCGGATGGATTAAACCAGTTTTTCGAGTCGTGGCTTCTTGTAATGGCCTATCTTCACAATGCAACCTTTGTTTGCAAAGCCAAAAAGACTACTTTTCTTGACATCAACACCTACATGATAATGTGGCTGTTTATTTGGAATTTGCTTCAGCTATGCTCTCTTTTCTTGGGCTTTCAGTCTGATTACGTTTGTGGCATATAGTAGTAGCTTACTGTTAGAATAGACAAAACAGTTTCCTGTATGCCAACTTTTGCCTGATTGGTGGACGATTGTTTAGTTTATCGAACTAGATCTTCATTTCCTATTTTGAATAAAAACCAGCTAATGCATTGATCATGTTGAGTCCTCAATTGGACTTTAATTTGTGGCATGCAGGATTACATGAACGATTGTCAAGGATATTTTTTCTGTGTTATCTGTTGATAGTAGTGCGCTTGGAACTTATCGTGGAGGCAAAACCTACCAGTCATTTACCAGAAGCAGCTCCCACATCTCCCGCTACTGTGGCAGCTGCTTCTCCTTTAGATGAATGGAACCAAGTTCATTCCGCAATCACGCCATCAAAAGTTGAAATTTCCTTGTCGGCAAGTCTTCCTCTGGTCAGTAGAAGACACTTGAAGTACACTATAGAGAAGGCTGCAGCTTCACAATTGCCAATAAGAGGTTCCCCAGATTATAACACTCTAACTGCTTCTTTAAACTTGTCAAGTTTAGTAAATCCTCCAATGCCAAACAGCCAACATACCTCCACAGAGTTGGCTATTACACCTTCATCTGTTGGCCATTCTTCTCCAGTATATTCAAACTCAACCTCACTTCCTTCTGGCTTGGCACAACCACCATTGTCTCCTGAAACTGGTAAGATAAATTTTGTATTTCAACTTTTTTTTCTAACATTCTGATAAGATAGCTTGTGTTCATTCTTTTGTAGTTCAACAAAGAAGTTAACTTGCACGACACACTTCTCTAAGTGCATCTGCTTACATTCTTGCTGAGTTGTTATAGTTAATTTTCTCTTGATAGTACCAAAAATTTAATGTCTCATCTTCGTAACATCGGCCTCTTCTTCTAGAATATTAACAGACAATTCACTTAGAGGTCATTGATTCTAGTTTCTAGCTTGTGAGACATCCAATGGACTGTTAAAGAAATACAATAATGTTTGAGGATTTGGCATGTTTTATATTTTGAAAGTTTGATTCATGTACAAGTGTGTTCAGTATGTACCTTTCATAATTTGAAGTAAACGATGTTTGTTTTATTCAGGAAGTCTGTAATATAAATGTTTTACTTCAAAAGGAATTGAAACATGACTTCTTCTTGGACAGGGAAAACAAAGGTAGGAAATCTTTGTCACTTGAAAATGTGTATTATGTTGGTGAAAACTGTAGTGTATTCTTCTGATTTTAATCTTTAAGGATGGAAAACTTTCTCTCATCTGATTATCCTGTTTTAGAAAGTAATAACTAGCTGAACTAAGATAAGAAGGCATTGTTCTTTCCAGCAATCACTATGCTAATATAATTATTTCTAACATCTTCTCAATGGAACAGAATGTTGTGAGCCAAACATGGTGCAGAGACAAGGTACTCAAGATTGCCACTGTGTGTACCCTGTCAAAGTCGAGCTCTTTCTGCAGAATGTTTCTCTGATTTCAAATTGGAGCAATGAATTTCTTCAAGAACTGTCTTATCAGCTTGAGCTGCGGATTGACCAGTTTGAGATTGTTAATTTCTACGTTGTTGGTGCATTTGGGTTAAATATCACAATGGACATAGCCCCACATACAGGGATAAGTTTCTCTGCAGATCAAGTTATTGCAATGAATTCTTCGCTTGCACTGCATAGGGTTCGCATTAACCCTGGGCTAGTTGGCGACTATAGACTTCTCAATTTGACTTGGTTTAGACCACTTGCTCCTCCTCCTGGTAATCACTAGAAGAACATAGTAAATTATTGTTATTAGATGGTCACAAAGTTTAATTTTCTTCCAGTCTATTAGATATGTAATCCATTATTTTCAAAGTTGCAGTCTTTGATAATTTTTATCTACTATCTGCATATTTTTCACTCTCAACCATCAAACAGACAAATGTAGCATGGTTTTGAACAGGTAAACTTGCAGACATAAAAATAAATTTGTGGAACATTGCAACAATTTAGCAGCTAATAGATCATTCAACATGAATTAATTATGGAACAAGTTTCATGCTTAAACTTGATAAACTTGAACAACATATCTGCCATAGTTGTCTTATAATAGTAGCAACCAATTCTTCTGATGTTATAGTAATCATGATATCATTTATGATATGTGGGACTCACATAAAATTGTACATTTCATGTACAGTATTTGACTTCTTGTTAGTAAAGACTGTTCATGTAGATGTTCGATTTTACCATATGTTAACATCCGTATATCTTAGAAATGTATTTTGGAAAAGCTACAAGAAATATTGAACAAATATCTTTGTTCAATATTTTATAATTAAATTCAAAATCATACAAGAAAAAATGACATGTCACACTGCAGATGTCAGAGATGATTTTCTTCAGAAAAGAGTAATAACCATATTTATATTTTGAGATATATTTTGTTTAATTCTCTTATCCTTTAGTTCCATTCTCTTCCACTGTCACAGTACACTTGGACTTTTCTTGGGTTCATTTGTTTACTTCATAGGTTGAAATCAACTTCAAGACCTAAATGGAACCACATGCAGATGCACTTTTGTGTTGTTGATTGATTATTGATATGTTTTGTTTAGTTAGAAGAAACTAGATCAATTTTGACCATTATAGGCTTAGTGTATTCTGTGATTGTCATGATACTTGTTTCTGCTTTTAAGGAACTAGTTTTGTCAACAATAAGATTATTACTATATACCATGAGTGCCCTGGCTAAATCATCTAAAGCTTGCTGGATGTAACTTCTATTTATGCTGCAACTATCATTTGTTCTTCCTCAACATTTTAGAGGTTATTTATGATGTACCTAATGCACGCTATATATCCAAGAATGCTGTCATCTTCTCTGTCTTGTAATGAACTTGTTTTCTTGGTTGTATCTAGCGGATTTATACTAAAAATGTCTCTCTTTCCATGTTAATCTATCTCCATTTATCTTGTGGTGAAATTTTTTGTAGGGATATCATTTCATCTCTAGTGAAACTTATGGATATTTTCTCTAGAATATATTTCATATTCCCAGATGGCATCTGGTGAAATGATGGTTGACTTTTCAATCTTTTTTCTCCAGCTCCTTTGTGGGCTTCATCACCCATGGCTTCATCACCTGCAGCACCCTACTTGCCTGCATCTGTACCAAACAAGGATACTGGAGGTGGAAACCATTCAAGTTTCATAATAGTTATCGGGATATGTATCAGCATTCTGCTAGCTGTTACTTTAGTCATGCTAGTAATTTGTTCTTGCACATCTAGCAAAAGGAAGGAGGTACCAGCAGAAGAAGCAGGTACATGCTTAGGTCCTATTTTGTTGGTTAAACTTATAAGTTAGGATATCCACATCCAGCTTAAGTTATGAAAATATGGAATGGTTGAATTCTAGTAGAAATGTTGCACAGAAATTGAGATATGGCGAGGAACCAATCATGTAAAGGTTGCAAAGTAATTGAATATGCATCTGACAATTGATTTTTGCATATCTCAGTTTAGAACTAGAAAGTTGATTTTGAAGCTTACATGTTAACATCCACATCTCCTGAAACAAGGATTGGCTGTTCCTTGAATAATAGCTAATGAATATTATGATTTTGGAAGACTTCAAAACTTCAAACTAATGACTTACAAGCTTTTGGCAAAGCAGAAAAGGAAAAAGAAACACTTTTGACTAAAGTTTTATCATCATCTTCATCATTATTTATTTCATCATAATTAACTATGAAGCAAAAGTGAACACTCTAATAAGTTACATCCGAAAACCAACTCAAGTTTGTGGTTGCCTTTTAAATTGATTATTAATCAATTCTCAAGCAATTGATTCTGAATTCATGGGAACTTTGGACATGGGTTCTTGAATTTATGTGATATGGTTTAGCCTAGATGCGGTGGCTGTCCATGTTGAAGTTATTTTAGTTTTGGATATAGGTTAAGATTAGCCCAAGATATTTGTTTTGTTGCTAGTGAGCAAGATTGGGAACATCGTTGGTAACAGGGATACCTTTCAAATATCCTTCCTATGATTTCTTATTTTGTGGATTAATGTAATAGGACAACGGTTATTATTTCTTAGTTTCACAACAGAACTTCTTAGTTTAAGCACAATAAGTTGAATTTCTTAGCGATTAATTATGATACCATATAATTTTATGTATTTAGATTTTCATCAGAATTTTACTTTGCAGTGAAGTCAAGGATTGCAGATACAGTGTCTGTGGAAGCGGTTCTTCCTCATCCCACTAGTACACGGTTATTTTCATATGAGGAGCTCAAAGATGCTACAAACAATTTTGAGTCTGCTAGCATGCTTGGGGAAGGTGGCTTTGGCCGTGTCTTCAAGGGTATATTGAGTGATGGGACTGCTGTTGCCATCAAGAAGCTTTCCAGTGGAGGACACCAAGGAGATAAAGAATTCCTGGTTGAGGTCGAGATGCTGAGCAGGCTGCATCATAGAAATCTTGTGAAACTTGTTGGTTACTACAGCTGCCGTGACTCAGCACAAAATCTTCTGTGTTATGAGTTAGTTTCAAATGGAAGCTTGGACTCCTGGCTTCATGGTATCATTAATTTTGAGCAAGAGGTTTCCATTTTGAGCCTTAAATTCTATTACATCTAAGTTTCCGAATGTGATACTAATAAGTGCCTTCTCTTTAGGCCCCTTGGGAGCAAACTGTCCTTTAGATTGGGAAACTAGAATGAAGATTGCTCTTGATGCTGCAAGAGGGTTAGCGTACCTACATGAGGATTCTCAACCCTGTGTGATTCACAGGGATTTCAAAGCATCCAATATATTGCTTGAGAACAACTTCCACGCCAAGGTTTCTGACTTTGGTCTGGCCAAGCAAGCACCTGAAGGTCGTGCTAATTATCTTTCTACTCGCGTCATGGGGACATTTGGGTGAGTAGTCAATTTCCTTTCATTCAAGTTACTTTATTTTGACTTATATTATTGCACCATTTGCATCCTGTGTCATTTCAGGTATGTAGCACCCGAATATGCCATGACCGGACACCTGTTAGTAAAGAGTGATGTGTACAGCTTCGGAGTAGTTCTACTTGAACTGCTGACAGGAAGGAGGCCTGTAGATATGTCACAACCATCTGGCCAGGAAAACCTTGTAACTTGGGTTAGATTTTCTTTTCACGATTTATTTTTAAGTTAATATACATTAGTGGATCCTTTACAGTTTACCTCATCAGATTTACTCATTTGTCTACATGGTGTTGGTGGCGTAGTTAAATTTCAGTGAAGATAATGATATATAGACAAAAATATATAATCTCTTAAGTGAAAGACATAGCAAAGGGAAAAAGTTTCTGTTGGAAACAGTTAAATAGAATCTGCAAAGGTATAGTATAATAATTTCTTTATGACAGCTTAAGATATTCTTTTCATGATAATCTTTCTGCAGTTTATTTAAGTACCAATTGTTTTCATCGTTAATCTAGCTAGCATACTTCAGACAGCCCCCACCATATATACTAATCCATCAGGTGGTAAATCATGCATTCATATGTTCTGGTACTTGCAGGCCCGGCCAATTCTTCGTGATAGTAACAGATTAGAGGAGCTTGCAGACCCTAGGCTTGCAGGTAAGTACCCCAAGGATGATTTTGTGCGAGTTTGCACAGTTGCAGCAGCTTGCGTTGCACATGAGGCGAACCAGAGGCCTACGATGGGTGAAGTGGTGCAGTCCCTTAAAATGGTGCAGCGTGTAGCTGAATGCCAGGATCCCTTGCCGACCCCATCAACTAATCCCCATAATAAGCAGTCGTCGACGACTTTTGAATCAGATGCCACTTCGTCCATGTTCTCTTCTGGTCCTTTCTCAGGTCTAAGCCTTTTTGACAATGACAACATTTCCAGAACAGCAGTATTTTCTGAGGATCTGCATGAAGGTCGATGAGGCTTAAGCTCGTGCTTTGTCATGAGAGGGCTGAGGTAACGGCTGTGGGGGAAAAGGATTGCAGATAGTCTATGTTGTATATTTCAGTTGTTGCCACTCTAGGTTTTGGAATTCATGTGCATTATTATATATGACTAGTCTTGTTTTGTTGGAAATATATTAAATGTTTTCTTCGTTCTATGATTGATTTCTCACATTTGTTTACTTAATGAGTTCTGAATTTGGCGATACTAATCCCATAGGTTTTGTTCAATCTGTAAAATATTTTCTCGATCCTCACATTTGTATACTGATATGAACACACAAACAAAGATCTCTTCTCAATCCAGGTGCCAATAACACTAGTCTCCAGACCTACTGCTTTGTACACTACCCAAAACGTTTTGGGTGTAATTATGTAGCCATTCTTGTCAAATATTGAGCCACATGAATTGACTTTTGAGTTAGGAAAAAGTACTTCTTGAGGGGCATATATACCAGCAGCTGCTTGTGGTGCTCAAAAGCTTCAATCTGCTATGACTCAGTCAACCTTTTGCCAGAAATTTTCGAACGTTTAATTTGTTCAGCATTTTGTTTGGGTTCAAAATAATTGGATCAACCTGATATGAGCACACCTTGCAATCTTCTTCCTCCAATTGAAAATAGGTCAAAAGACTACACTCTAGATAGATTGTCATCTCATCCTACATGATAATTTTCTTGATGCCATAAGCAAAAAGAATAGGACATAGTATTAAAAAAATGAGGAAAAAAAGGATATAGGAGGACACAAGTTCTAGCTTTGAACCACCTCTTTTTCTTTTTCTTTTTTTTCCTTGGCCGTCAATATGGAAGAAAGAAATTAGACGGTATCTGAATCATCATGGAAGTTTTGAGGTACCCAAAAGAACAGCTCAGCCATGTCAAAAATGAAATGTAAGCATGACAAGCATTTTGCCTTCTTTGACTAGCAGATGGTTGAAACCTGCAGCAGATGTGGAGGGGCTCACCTTTAGCAACCATCAGAACCACCCTGATAAAACTGTCTGGTTTGACTTTGAGCTACGCAGGAACATATGACTCTAGCATCAGTTGTGCCGGCGACGGGGACTTGATCTCCACAATCAAGTATGTGAATGTCCACTTCTTGTCAGCCTGGTTTTTGAACATTTCTGTGTACACCTTGCCAAATCCATGTGGTCCGCGAATATGGAAGTTTACCTATATGTAAATTAGATACAAGTCAAATGTTCATTCCTGATGACCCTGATGGGCGTTTGATATCTTCAACAACCAAGGAAGTGCATGATAAGTCTCTGGAAGCAAAATCCTAATCTTACTATTAATTTTCAGAGAATCAATTCTTGAAGGCGAACATTCTGCAGAAAGCTTTTTAAATGGATAATTTCCAGTATTGCCAGTCTTTAGTCTTTTTCCAATTCTTAACATCCAATTCTTGCTACAGCTACTTAAAACTCACTGCTTTCCCAATAATCTACTTTGATAAGGCTGGTGGTAAAATCCTTCTCAGAGGTTTGCCAGAATCCAAATATCATTTGAAGATTGACCTCATTTTCTTAGTCCAGACAGGTTTTGCTAATTTTCACCAATTACCCTTTTTCAGAATAGATTCAAGGGAGCCCAGGTAAGCATTGCATGGAAATGGAAGATTATAATTTGTAACTATCACATTTGCTAATAAGTTCAGATTGGTCTATAACTAAGACATGCATAAAAGCTTCTCCTGTGAGATATTACCTCAACATGTTCAATACCATCTTCATCAGTCCAAACCCTATTTGGAATACGTTGACGAGCAGCCCGATTTCTGCTTTCTTGGCCATAGCCAGTAACAGGAGAGCCAATTCTCACAGTAACCTGACAACCCAATATGGAGCACAAATATAATAAAGAAAACATAATAAAAAAAAATCCCAAATGAGTTAACGAGGCAACTGATAGAAAAATCATGACTGAGATAGACCAGCTCTTTGATACATACCTGACTATCATTCTGCACCCTTTCAAGAGCCTTTCCGAAAATCTTGTACCTACATAATAGGTACAGAGAAAATGCATAATAAATTACTTTCTTAATATATAGAAATGAAAGAAAAGGAAAAAAAATACAATTAAAAAAAACCAACCAGATTACAAAGAATTCATAACTGCACAATTGCAAGCATTTTACCATCTAATATAATCAACTTCTTAGTAAAATGTAGTCTCTTCACTCCACATTGTCAAATAAAACTAATAATAAAAACTCCTGGCAACTTGATCCATCTAAAATTGAGGCTCAGTGAAAATGTGAGCTGAAATCAACAATTTGAAGGTGTTCCCACATCTTTTACTTAAAACTACATACTTCCATAATCAAACACATGTGATTTGATCTATCAAAAAATTTTTTTTCTTTAAAAGCTTCATAGCTAAAGAAGACAACCAAACAATTAATATTAATACAACATCTAGTGTGGCATGAATGAATCAAGCAAGTAAAATGTTTCACCATTATCGGTATACTAAACAGCAGGCAAAAGGTCCATATCTGCTGCTCCATCCTGTTTGACTGATGGCACTGCAACCCCCATTTATGTCAAAGCTAATTAGATGACTGTGCTCATGACACATGACATGACATGGTTGACACATGCCACTAGACATACCAGCCAATAGATTTCCAGCTTGCCTTCTCTGCCAAGGGATGTCAATGATCCACATAGCGATCCAGAGTGGGCACTAGCACTTGTTTCTGTTGTTTGTTCAAGCGCTATGACAGATGAAAGTCAGTTGTACTACATAGACTCTACATTAAGTATAGTCATCATAATTCATTTGTGTAACGATTCTAAAGTAAAAAATCAATAGTCACACTTCTAAACAGCCTAAAAGTGGCAATTAAAATTAATATGAATGCTTTATATCCTCCTAAATTGTATATTTGTGATGCATCACACAAAAATATGATGTCAAGACGTCGCTAATTAAACAGCAGCCTTCTAATACTACTTTCCTGAATTTTGGTAGAAACTTGTCCTCATTAAAGATTGTTGAAAGAGCTGAACCTAAATTCCCAGAATGAGCAGAAATTGAAACTCCAAACTTTATTAATATCTGAAGTTTAGTGAGTTAAATCTGAAATTCCAACCCTTTACATACAAAAACCAACTTATTATCACATAGTAAAAACTGAAAAAGAAAAGTACAGTCTACAGAAAATGCATGTAACAAAGAATAATAAATATTGACTAAAAAGAAAGATTCTGCAGGTTTACCCACTCAACATAAGAGTCGGACATCTCAAGATGTTATCAAGAACTTATGATGATAACATGTCATATTTCTCCTTATATAATACCAACTGCTGCATAGCATGACAAAATGGTTTTAACTATTAAGCCACTGTTGACTCAAGAACCAAAAGTTAAAAGATCTTTTGATGACCATCGATGTTCAGCATAATTTTGTAACTGCAATCAAACTTGGTTGTAATTTATTCATAAATGGGCAATCGATATAGCAGCTGTCACTATAACAGTAGCAGAGACTAATAAAAAGCAAGGTCAACTCCGAGTGTATTATCTAATCATACATTACATTCAACATGTTGAGTTTCAAAAAACTTTAAACTTCAAGTAGAACTGGAAGAGTTACCATATACCATGTAGTTGCAGTTTCTGTAGTTACAGTTTCTATCTTTACTTTAAAACTAATATGAAGAAAAGCTTACTCTTTTGGCTCAAAAATTAACTCCTTAAAGACAGCATATGCAGCCAAGCCTGCAACACCCAGACCCGCAAGTATTATTAGACTGTATGAAGCGCCCTCTGCAAATGTCACTGGTTTTTCTGGAATATTGTATGTAGGTGCATCAAAGGGATCTTCGACTGTAGATATATCTTTTCTTTTCTCCTGAGAAGTTCATATGATACATGGCTCTTATCAAAAAACAATTACAACTATTGCATGAACAAAGAAGCCATGAACATAAAGCAGACCACATGGTACAAGTACAATCAACAGTGAGAACTAAGAGAACTGATAAAATGAATCATGAATTAATTAAAAAAATACTCTCATTTAGATAAGTTTTCTAGTTAAATCAGCTTGGCGAAACCATTATTTGTAACTGCAATAACAGGTCAGTGATGAATAAATAACTTGGAAAAGATAAGATCTTCAGTAAATTTTATCAAGGTTTTAAATCCCAATTGTGGCTTTGTTCAGAGCTTAGTAGTGGCAAAAGATCCATGCAACTGACCCCAAATGATTGCGACTTTACAGCTTCCCATTGCTATTATAAATATTGGTTATACTGGTCAGTATGGACCAATATGGGGACCTCCAATTCAATACCAAGCACATCGCCCAGTGAGGTTACCTTACTAGGCATGCTGCCAGAGAAGGTAACTAGTATGAGTTGTGGGATGGTATAGGAAACTTTTATTTTATAAATCTTTTGCTATTTTAAATGTGGGGCCCTCAAGGACTGTCAATCCTCGTCTTCTATGAATGCTTGTTTATCCCATAGTTCCATCAGTTCCTTGTTAACTGAGTTATCTTCAACATTGTCCACTGAGAACCTAAGACTACTTTCCTAATAACTTATTCTCTTGTGCCCTTCCTCGGTTTAAAGATTTTAAAGTTTTTCTTTTGCCAGATGTGATAAACTGAAGCCACAAAAATTCACTTCATCACAACACATGCAATGGATCCTCCTTTATAATGATCAACCCACCACTTCTATTCCTGCTCCAAGATTTCTGCTTTCTGATTCTGCAGAATGATAATATATCTTCCTTTACCTAATTTGAACTGCTACATCCAAAAACTAGATGCATGACATCTTTGTCAGCTTCTTGGCACATATATGGGTCTACTAAGTGATTCCTTCCTATATTAATATATCCTTAGCAATTCCTAATTGCTAACCGAAGAATGACTGCTGTTTTCAATTTTTTTTTCTTGAACCATACCATATTATGCTGCCACACTTTTGGCTCTTTAATTGTAATACATTTGCTAACTTTATCTGTTATAAAACCTTTTTAAATATCAAATACTAAGGCCTTTTTAATTATCAAGCATCCAGATCTTTTTAGCCTTGGTATCCCGAATACAAACTTTGCTAATTTTGGTTCACAATGTAGCAGTCTCCTGATTGATGGCTGGTCGAAAAAGTCAAAACCACCTATTAGTAACTACATCAGCAACAAAGTGATGTTTGGCAATTCCTAAAATTCCTGATTACAATCTTTGTCTTTTACCATTTTTCAATCTCTTAATTACAATCCTATTGCATATTACATGTACTGTAATGATGAAGCCCCATCTCTGAACATATAACGTCAGCTCCTTTAGCATTTGCCATTTGCCATCCTACAGGACCAAAACTGAATAGTAATTCTCCACCAGGATTGTTCTCTACCCTTCTCTTTGTGTTTTTCCTTACAGCTAAACTGAATAGATCTCTTTATTGTCTACCAATATTGTTCTCTTCCCTTTGTGTTTTCCCTTAGGGTGTCATCCTATCTATTATCGTACAATCAAAACCTTTTTTTTTCTTCAAGATCAGATTCAATAGTCCCTTGGTAAATTCATCCTGATTGTATTCCATCTCCTTCAAAATGGGTGTCCTCTAGCTACTCAATATGGCTGTGCAACAACCAAGAAGCCTGGAAGCCTGGAAAACCAATCCACAAAACTACCTGTTAATACTAATTTCATACTATTAATAAAGTATATGCATACATCGTTAACAGTTTGCTAAAAGGAATTCAAAATTAACTACAGATTGGGTACAAAAAGTATTCTTAAAGACATTGCATGCAGTCACTTGAGAATTCGATGTTCCATAGTGTTTCCTCAGTATGTTAACCTCATATTATTAATATTCCCTTTAGGCACGTCCACTAGATTTACACTACTTTTTCATATATTCTCAGCAAATAAGACGATAAAGAATATAAGTTGTGAAGAATGTAAAAGGTGCACTATTTTTTTTTCCTTGGCTCTTTAAAAAAATTATGTGATATGTAATAAAAATATTCTAATAATAAATTAGAACTAACAGTAATAATATAAGTCATTAAAGAGAACCAAGGGACGAAAGGGGAGCTAAGATGTCAAATGAATGATCTCATAACTTTAGTGACAAAATACAAACCTCTTTTGTTCTTTGTTCTGATGCTTGTGTAGAATAATTTGATGCAGTTGTTCTCACTAAGCAAGAAATTGTGCAGTGCTTTCTGTCATGTATGGTAGGCTGAACTGCATGATTTCTGTTGATCATATGCCATCTGAAAAGTTTACTAAACGATCCTAGTGTTCATGTCAAAAACATGCATTAGTACATGCTATGCTCTTCTAGTGCACCATATAAAAGTTGCACAGAAACAGATGACATACATGCTAAGCATGCAGATAAAAAAGACGGAAAAAGTCCTCGGCATTCATGCACTAATTTTGAAAGATCACTTTTCACAGCATCTTTCCTTTTGCAAAATAAACCAAACGATAAGGAGCTGAAGTGCACAAACAATTTTTAGCAAATACATCTCTGCGAGTCATTGATTTAAAATTGACAGGTTGTACTCAGTGCCAGGCATATCTGGAATAGTTGGAACAAAAGCAGTTCAAGTGAGGAGATAAGTAATTTTATAATTTCAAATAAACATTGACTTAATTAAACTTACTTTTTATCTACACCAATAATGAATTAATGAGATAAGCAGATGGCAAGAGAACTTAGATAGATGGTTGATATAAGTTATATAAAACCAGTGATTTAAAAAGCACTAGACGTCAAGAGGCATCAAGGTGCAAAAACGTCCGAGGCGCTAGGCGCTCGCCCGAGCAAAACTAGACGCTAAAATATAAAAATATATAAATTAATTAATAAATATAATTATTTAAATAAAAATATGATATTAAATTAAAAAATCTTACAGAATTACAATATCACATTAACAAAAAATCTCAAAATTCAAAACAATAACTATAATTTCAAATAAATAAAAATTAGCAGTATTAAAATCAAAATAATATATTATTAATCTAATAAATAAAAAAATATTGTTACTAGTATACAGTTAATAGTATACTATTAATATATTGTTAACAGTATACTATCGAGTCGATGTGAGTAGATGGAGTAAGAGTAACAGCAGCGGCAATAGCAGCGGGGGCTGGAACGACGATAGTGGCAAGCAACGACAGCAGCAGTAGTGGCAACGACAGCGATAGCGATAGCAGCGAGTAGCGACAACTGTATAAGAGTAAGACTGAGGCTGCTGACTGAGAAAAACAGCAACGGTAGCAGGAGCGACGATAGTGACAATGACAGCAGCGACAGCAACGGCAAGCAGCGATAGTGGCAGCGGTAGCAGAGAGCAGAGACAATGAAGACAAGCAACGATAGCGGAGAGAGGCAGCGGCAATAGAGAGGAAATGTCAGCGGTAGAATCGCGAGCAGGGTTAGGGTTGGAGAAGTCGCGAGAGGGATGTTGGGAGGCTGATATCGGTGCTTTAGTTGGTTCAATCGAACCAACTGAAGCATCGGAGACCGAATCAAACGTAAAACACTGGTTCGGTCACCTGGTTTAACCCGAGTGCTTGCCCGAAGCGCCCGGCGCCTGGGCTCGGGCGAGAGCCTCGCTTATTGAAATCGCTGTATAAAACCTTGATAAATCATCTTATTCTCACACACATATAGGCCTTCTCATGCGAGTTCATCAAGAATTTCAAATTTCTCAAGTTAAAAAGACAAAAACAAAAGTGGGAAATGTTTATATCAATTACATGACAGCCGTGGTCCTCAGCTGTCAGTAGCCTATCCTGCACTTCAGAAACAATATGCATGAGTTAAGATTTATAAGTTATTATCAAACATGGCTGAGATAGTTAGCAAAAGAAAATCCATGAACACCGCCTAAGAATATATGGTCGGTCATCTTGCTTTGACTATGATGAACAAAATAACTCTAGTGTTTTCCAAAGCACTAAGCACCATAAGGAGCCAAGGTCCCTTATTGCTTGAGAGGTCGACACTTGTCCAAAGAAAACAAGATTCTTACCTTGAAAAAGTTATAAATATAGAATTAAGGATAAAAATGATTACTTAGATAAGAACTTCAATCAAAACATGTTTTATATCATTATTGCAAAATGAATACTTGACATTGTCTTACCCAAAATATTCCACCTTAAGTAATTTTGTCAGGGAACATGTAAGGATGACATTAGGTCATTTGGATCCTTTAAACAATTACACTCCCATCCTGGACACTGTCTATTGCATGGTTTGCAGTACCGGTCCGACAGACTTTCGGTACGCGGACCATATGTTACCGTTCCGACACTGTAGCAGCACTGTAGCAATGTAGCACTGCTGCAGTGCTCGGCACGCCTGAATATACCGCTCGGTACACCTGGGTGTACCGAGCGGTATACCGTACCGTACCGGTACCGAGCCCAGATCGAAACTCCGGTTCGGTACGGTATTGCGAACCTTGGTCTATTGTTTATCGGTGATATTTCCTCTGACACACCGACAGTTGCCATTGTACTTGAAATGTAGTCTGAATTGTCATGATAGATTGATTAGTTGAACCACGGAGATAGAAGAAAAATAAGAGGGAGGGAAGATGGGGCAACGAGAAGATGGATGAAGGAGGATGACAGTGAAGAGCAGTGGAGAAACGGGAGGAACACAAGCAGAAAGTGGGAGAGAAGGGCAAGAGTGATAACTGTTGTTAGCTGCAGTTGGATTGGGAGACAAAACATACAGTAGATAGCAAAGAAAAGAATTAAGATCACAAAATTTCATATAGAAAAAAATACATTAATCAAATGAGACCAAGGACATTTCATCTGAGTTTCTTGAACCTCATCGTTATATGCATATCACATGAAACTAAATACACAAGTCTGAAAGTCAAAATTCAAAAACACTGCAGAAGAGATGACATATTGAAGTGTAAAATTTGTACAGTTTAACAACAAAAAAATGTGCATAGTAATAACATACAGACAGCATTTATTCACTTAAAGACAAGAATAAATACTGGCATTCAAAACCTACAGATTTGACTAACCTTCAGCCTTTCTCACATCCTGCATTAAGAGAAACGAAAAAACCAGTTAATCCTACATGAAAAGACTAAGTACATATTTCTATGTGGCACTAACAACTGGTGACAAAGAAGCAGAAGATGAATGACAACTACAGTACATAGAAGCTAAACATACAATACACTCTTTTTTCTGGGAAACTCTCATGCAACAATTTGTTTATAAGAAAGCCTCAAAAATAATAAGTTAGTTACTGATCAACTCTTTCTACGAACTATTTAAAGAAACTAATTACTACATCCCTTGAACAATAAAGGAAACTAAGCAAGATTGGTTCTACGGAGACCCTACAAAAGATCACGTTTCCTCTAACAGCCATGGTCAGTCTCGAAAAAATTGGATAAGTAGTGCAAACTTCATGTTGCAATTAAATGGATGATCCTCTGACAAATTAAGTCATTAATTATGAGAAAAACCCGTACAGTGGCAACAAATAGTTCCTCTCATGATAATGAATCATGAATCTAACAAGAAATCTGCAATAAGGTATAAAATTTACTTTGGTGATACCAAACTCATGGTTTAACCTGAGTTTGATCAAGATTATCGTTTTATAATGTGAGTACTAGTGCGATATGACTGTCACAGAAATGACCATACCGCACTAAGTTTTATGAGTTCTCTATTGATGCTACACTGCATCAGAAACCATTAAGAAACCAGAAGTCCCAGCCCTTTCAGTTTAAGATGACTTGCAAGTTAACCAATTCCACGTAAGTTTTAGAAAGAAACAATGTTTACTTAAGTTACCATTCTAATAGCAACGAATGAATGGAAGAACCTACTCAGTCCCGATTGGTTCCATATATAAGAAGGATCCACATTAATAGTGAAAGACAAGATCTTTTAGGTCTCGATCAAAGTCAAATTACAAAAGCTTAAACGATAAGGGCAATATGAACCCCGGAGAACCCTCTGTCAATTACATCACCTGACTAAAACGCCAGAGACCAACAGATGAAAGTTTTTGCCAGTATCACCTACAAATCAATGAAAAGTTCTTTCAAAATAGTGAAAACCTGACCTTGGCCGAAGAATTTGTAGATGATGCCCATTCCTTTGCAGGAGGCAAGCCGCCGGAGAGATTCCCCAGAGACTCCTGCCGGAACGACGGCGAAATCAAGCGGCGGGACGAGCCGCTTCTAGCAATACGAGATAAAACCCTAGACGCCATCTACCACCTCGATCGAAGACCAAGCTTACGAGACCGAATTAGGAATCGGAGGGCGAAGTGGCGAGAGGAGGAGGCTCCGAAGTGCGGCGAGGCACAAAGAAGAAGCTTTTATAGGTCAGAAGCCGAAATAATAAACTGAACCGGATTCGGTCCAACCTTGTAAACCGCAATTGACAGTGTACCGAACCGGGCCGGTGGGCCGATTTCTTCTTGTATCCCCCGGCTTATTCCAATTCGCTGAAGTCAAATTAGAACATACATAAAAATAGGAAAAGAATTACTCAAATCAGATTTAAAATGAGTTTGAACAGTTGAAATGGTTAAAGTAGACCCAAAAAAATAATAAGAGTGCTTTTTATATCTGTAATTAGATTATACGATGTGAGATCTAAGATGATATAACTCAAAACCATGTAGTAATATTTAATATGTAAGGTTTAAAATATTTGTTTGATGATAACATATTAAATTTATTTATTAAGCGTTGAGAGTTGAAAATCTAATTCGATAAATTTTGAAGACGAAAGTAAGTAATACATTATCTTTATCAAGTTGATTTTATGATATTTATTTATTTTTATTTAAATAAGCCAATGATAGAGATAGAGAGTATAACTAAAATGGATGGTTTTGAAGGAACCTTTATAATTTAACCAAGTTACCTTTTTTTTGTAAAAAAAATGATGTTTTTTCTTTCTTTTTTGTATTATGTAGTTAAATAGAGTTTGCATTGAGGGTTGAAGCTCTTCTTAGATCGCCTTTTTTTGGAACATGTAATTAGGGATGATAAAGAGAATGGGACATAATGGTTCCACTCAAATTCTTCCACTACATTACTTAAACCAAGAGAATAATTATATTAATTATTTTAATTAAATTTAAAATATAATTAATAAAATAATTAAATAAATATTTTTGGGTGGTAGATTTTTTTTGTGTATCAATAGGTAGATTTGGATTTTTTTTAATTGAAGGATTTTTTAGATTTTATATTTTTGATCAGGCTATATAAAAAATATAATGAGACTGGTTCACCTTTAAACACGGATCCTAAATAATTTTAGTTATAGGTTACTTGAGAAAGATATCGAGATAACCGAACAGACTTGTGTGTTGTATACATGTCTATATGATGGATATAGCTAGTCTCATAGTTGCTCGTGTTAGGACATTAAGGATACAATACAGGTGCTCATTGGGCTAATTAATCCGCTTACGGAATGCTGAATGATTGATGATGTCTTATTATCAGATATCAATTCCGTAGTCCCAGTGGTATATCTAGTCTTTAGGCTTGAAACACCAAGAATGTCATGTATGAGTGCTCCACTCTTTGATACCAGACTTATATGTTTGGATATCACAAATCTAGCACAACTGGTCATTGGGAGTGGTAGTCAACCTTACGAGGGCTATTGAGTGTCGATAGAGAATCATCCACTCTCGGTGTCATAAGAGGAATGTCTCATATGTTCTTGCTTAGACAAATCTTTGGCCAGGGTCATTCGGATTGACAGAGAAAAAGTTCTCCGAGAGAATCTGATTAGAGCGAGACT